AGCATGTATATATATATATATATATATATATATACATTGAAAATGAGAAGTACCATAGAGATGTTTAGAAAACACATAAAAGTTATGTCGATTTCTTTACTTTAAAAATAAAAACACCATAGAGATATCTTAAAAACAAATATAAATTAGAAATTGTTCTTGCTATTAAAATTTTTTATAAAAATATAACAGAGGCATTTATGCTTAAAAGCTTTGCGGGTAAGTACATTTTTATTTGGAAGAAAGTACTGACACCTAGATACTAAAGTGTGAGCTCTTGAATTAATGAGTATACTTAAGACGAACAAAAAGATTCGTTATTCTATCTATTCCAGCTACTTGATTAAATGGAAAGAGGGAATCACTCACAATTGCTTACTGTGATTCCGGAATTGCTCCTGCTGCAACATTCGGGATAGTTTCTGAATCTCATCATTTAAGAAGCGATTTCGGTTCTGAAGCATCTCTAACTTGGAACGAAGCTCTTGTAATTCTTTCTTCTTTTTCTCGAATTCCCTAGAAGAGATTTTCTTATTTCACACTCCATTGAACTCATATGCAGAAAAATTTAAGGTAATGCTATTGATGGAATATCGAAAGATGTTTGAAATGATTCGTAAGACTATTAGATTTCATTGGAAAAAGAGATGTTTTTATTTTCAGAATAATAAAACTTCCTTATCAGTTATATGAGAATAAATAAAAATGAATTGAGATTGAATTTTAAGAATATGGGTATTATTAGAGTATCATTCAATTAAAAATCAAGAGAAAAACTTCGTTTTTAGGCTTTATTCATTGGAAGTGGATGTAGTATTTCATGTTTATTTCTCCCTCAATCTAAAGAAATACACATGAAAAATGCTTTAATTTATTTAGTTTTCTAAGGAAATTGCGAAATTTGATAAAAAGTTTTACTCTTTTCATCCAAATTTTGTATTTCAAAAAATTCTATACTTTGATTATCCCCCGTAATGATTTAGTTACAATATTACCTTTCAATTTTTAAGAAAACTGCAAAGCTTAGAAAAAATATTTTACTTATGATATCTAGATGTAGTAATTTGTGAATTATATTCTAAATTCTATTCTAATTCTATCTAAAACGCACCTATTCCAAACACGAACACTATATATCTGTAAAGCATTATATCTGGTATAGTCCTTTTTGATTTTAAGGAAATGACAAAGCCTGGAACTAAAGTGATACTTCTTTGGTTCTGTCTTAGTATCTTATTAAAATGCTATAACTATACACAATTTCTAAAATACTATACGGTTGTGCAATTGAAAATCAGACATGAGTGTTTCACGATAGATTTCCTGGAAAGTAGCTTGACAACTAATTTCGTTCGATTACTAGTCCTATGATCGATAATTTTGGCCTTATGACTACTAATGCTCAACTCCGTATCGCTGTAATTTTGAATCGAATCAATTATTATATTTTATAGACTTACAGTCTTTGAAAACACTAGTCTTGGTTATTCCATATTTCTAAAGAGAAACAAAATTATTCATATACAACACAAAATTTTTATTCTCTTATTATTTGGAATTTTAATTCATTTAAAATTATACGAACAACAAAGTGAAACGAAATTCTGAAATCATTCCTGTATATGGTGCTTATTATTACTTTTTATACTATGTGGAAACTTATGCAATTTGTCAAAACACTTACAGCTACGAGACAGCTCTTGTCATGCTGAAATGGGGGAATTCTGAGGAATCACAATGAGCACGGAATATTTTCACAGAATAAAAGTTATGAAACTCAGCATATATTTAATTCATAGAACTCAGCCGAACTATAAAGAGTAATTCAGAACTATTGTTCAAAAATCTATATGTGTCAGGAATATTTTCAAACAAATACCTTTAAACTGTGTTAAACTTATTTTCTAAGCAACAATATCTGTTCATATAAAATGAGCTATTTTTTAACTGAACTATTTTTATGAATAAAGAACTGAAAACAACTTATTGATAAACTTACTTTCAAATTAAAAAGTTATATTTATTAGAAAATAATTAACTTGCAATATTAATCAACTATTTTCAAATAAACACTGATAAAGCGAATTTAAAAAAATGGTTCATTATGTTCTAATGTGAGCAATATTCTTTGTTGTATTTTTACTATGACGCCTTTCGTATTTTAATTACGACTTACCTTTCTGCTTTTAGTTTTGCTACTTCAACTTCCTTTGCTTCAAGAGCTAATCTGCAGCTTTTCTCTCTATTCAGGCACTTAGCAAGCTCGCACTTGACGGATCTAAATACAAAGTAGAAACTGTAATTTGGTACTTAATTCAAAATTAAGCGAATTATTTTGGTTAATCATTAAGAAGTAAGTAGTTTAAGTAACAAAAGTAAGCAATTACTCAAAACCATTGAAAAGCAAGCTCTCACGTGATGAATGTCAAAGTAAAGTATAAACTTTACTTCAGAATTTTATTTCAAAGTAATGTAAGAACGCTTTTGACGAATTTAAATGTTATATCTTTGTTTTATTCAGAGGTAAAACAATTTCTGATTAATCATTTGAAGTATTTTGTTCCGAAATTAATCAAATATTGCATTGTGAGTTTTTAATATTTGGGACTTTTGAGCCAGTTAAAAATAATTTTTAATCGCAATATGCTTAACTAATAAACTCTCTCTAAGTCCTGTAGGTGGCCTGATCGTGGTGAGGGGTGGACTGGATGAAGTACGTATGGAAAGTATTATCCTGATAGAGCCACCTAAGGCGTAAACGCCTTCCAGTGTGTCTAACTAACTGCCTACAGGTGAAGGAGCTAAGACAGACTTCTACTAATTGGCGTTTCAGTCTTGGGACAAAAAGAAGCTGCACTTCCCCTCCTCATGAATCTGTTGAGGTAACCTTTGGATACTGACTGATAGTCGCAACATCGTCAGGTTGAGCCGCAATGACTCAGGGGATAGAGCGTTCGCCTTCCGATGAGGTAAACTGGGTTCGAATCCCGGAGATGGCTGGGCGATACGAATTTCGCATTCGGCTTGCGCCGACCAGAGTGCAGTGCTGACGTGAAATATCCTCAGTGGTAGACGGATCACGGGTTAAACTCCCCTTGCCATCAGGCTAACCGTGGGAGATTCTCGTGGTCTCCCCTCCATGTAAAGCAAATGTGGGTTAATTCCATCAAAAAGTCCTCCACGAAGGCAAATTTTTTCCAAACCCTGACTGAGGAGTTCCCTTGTCTTCTGCATTGGATTTAAAATTACAAGGTTACGTAGCTGAACGTTAGTAGTCGTAAAAAGACAGGTAAGACAGACTTCTAACCATTGAAGCTTCAGTCTTAGGACAAACAGAAGCTGTACTTTTCCTCCTCATGAATCTGTTGAGGTAAATTTGGATACTGACTGATAGCCGCAGATCAATGCAACATTTTAATATATGGACCCACAAGAAGGTCAAGACTAGTAAAATGACTTGGCAGAAAGTTCTGCAAGAGCAGGCTGCTGTCTCACCCCTTCTTCTTCTTCAAAGCAAACATATCTTGAACTTTACACATAGAAACAATCTCAATTTAAGAAGGATTGTTCAATACGTTCAATTCACTGTTGGTATCAGGGTAGTAGGCCAAATAAGGAAATCTGAAACACCATCTCGCACCTCACCAGTAGCCACTTAAGGAGTTAATGTTTATCTGAGGGTAAAAACATATCCGCTTTACCTCAAGTAGTAACACCAGGCTTCACCTAAACACATATTAGATTGTTTGGGACTCACATGGGAGGAAATTCCTTCACCTCCTTTTCTCATATATGATTTCTTGAATGTCAACGGATTCTTAATTCTGGTCTGGGGAAGTCAGATCAGTTGGGAGATAAGCGACAACAGACATAATAAGCTTTCAATTCAAATTCATGATCAACAATTTTGAGGTACAAATGCGTCGAATATTTAAAATTCTTTAAGTGTAATGGTGCTTGCAACTCTCGTTTGCTTTCTAGAATTTTTTGCAATTTTTCTTTTGTCCAAAGCCGAATAAAATGAATAATATGTAAAAATTTATAAATTATTTATTTAATTCGGCAAATTTTGGCTTTTTATCATGCAAAACTGTCAGATGCTACCGCAATACAAAAATTTGATGATTTTCTTCCTTTTCATTGGCTTGACAGCCCGCTGTTGGCCCTGGTTCCACCTTTGTCTTACATTTGCAATTAATCTCCAATTTTTTCCAGTACTAGTAATTTTATTTGCAAGCCATTTATGCATCTCAAATTTTGTCTGTTTTCTCCTCGAGTGCCAATTAATAATTTTATAATGGGCTTCTTAGGTTTCTGCCTTTTTTTAAGGTTTTGGTTATGCTAGTTTAATATGCATGGCCTTGAAATCTTTTTCCTCCAGTTTTTTTAATGAGAAATAGCGAATTGTTACAGTAATGTTAATATTAATATTGACTGTTAATTTTAATAGTAATTGTTAATCTTCACTGCACCTAAAGAGATTGAGGTTTTGAAATTGATTGTTGCAAGACGCCAATCTGAAACAAGCAGAATAAAATGGAACTTTAAAAATTGGTTTTGTCTTAGTATTAGTAATGGGCAAATATTTATATTTCATTGAACAAGTTTATTTTATTGTTTCAGTATTAAATATTTTATTCAGTTCATTTGCTATCACTACACCCAGCAACACAACTTGTTATAAGAGTGTTAAAAATTATCATATATGTTTCTATATAATAACAAAAGCTAAACATTACAGCTAATTCATTAAGAAAAAATATATGAGTACTCTTCCTTATAATAAATATTAGTACAATGAAGTTATATGGAATTGTGGCTGAATTTTTTAAAAATATTATGAATAACAAAGTAAAATAAATTCCAAAAGTTATCGTACATTAATTCGTTTTGAAGAACTGTTAATCTAGACTCTCCCACGTCACTTCCAGATGATGATGATGTTCTAAAAAAGAGATGGAAATTACAATTTATAAACGAATGTTTGATTTTGTGTTGAACAAAAATGACATTAACCAATCAGAAAAACAAATAAAAAAGAATCCCTTTAATCCGTGATCAAATTAAGCATTCCCAATTTTCCCAATAATACATAAAGAAATAGAAGGGTGGCTCAAATGAAACATTTCACCATTCTTTTGATTTAGAGAGCATTCAAAGTGAATGCAAAGTCGTGCTAAGATGCGTGAAGGGAAGTTTAATACTGACATAATTTTGTGATTGCTATTATGACCAGCATTATCAGCACCAAATGGCTAAGTTCAAATTTTTGCGAATGTACTTGTTAAGCCTCTGGGTAAGCCAAGCACCTGAATCTCCGATGAAACCATTAGTGTTGTTGATAGAATGATTAGTAGTGATCGGAGGTTACGACTTTTGACATCTGTGTAGCACATTATCTAATTGAATGCCTCTAAAATTGGTACTACTTTAAGCTAACTTGCTCAGGTACTACAAATTTCTGTTACATTAATCTTAAATGTTGCAATTTTTTGTTAAATCATTTAATTTTATTAAGTAAAAACTATACAGGCTTTTAAGTTCGCAAAACCTCTATAAAAACTTCTCCGAAAATTTTATATTAAGTGAATATTAAATTAAAAACACATTATGGAAGCATTAATTTGTTTAAAAAATCATTCTATGACACAAAACTTTAAAATAAACTTCCACTATATATTTTAAAAGGCTTCAAAATTCTTTACTGCAATTTATTCGCAACATCCATGGATAAAATTAAAAAAAATATGTTTCATATAAAATATATATTAACCACATATAAAAATTATTAACGCATTAAGAATACATTCACTTGCTTACAAAACCATTGCATAGGATAAAACTTTAAAATAAACTTCAAACATAAATTTTAAAAGTTTTCTAACTTCTTTATTACAATTTGAAATACGAATGAATAATGCATTGAAACTGTTTCTAAACGCTTAACAGCTTGATTTTAATGTTTTTAAAATTGTTCCGAGGGATTTGTTAAGTTGAAAAAGATTCGAACATGTGCTGCGCCAGCATTTTTTAAGAGTTTATCTTACTTCAATCGATTGTCTGTTAGGCGAAGAATTGGTGAATTTTCATCCTCTTCATCTTCATTTTCTTGGGCGGCCAATCTGTCGGATTCAGATGCTGATTCTGTTTCGGGGGATGATTCTTTTGCATCTTCTTCAACAATGGGCTCACATTGCCTCGGACTTGGAGTTCTAAAATTGAAATACAATGAGATGGGGAATGTTGGAAAATAAATTTTACATTACCAAACCATTGACGGGAAATTCAATTTTAGTTCAGTATAATGAAATATTTTATTTAAGAAACGAAAGCCGTTTTTTAATTTCATTAAAATTATTATATTTAATTATTAACAATATTAAAAAAATAATTAAATAATATTTATATCATATTTAAAGTTGTATCATGTCTAAAATTGAAGTAAAATATAATAATACATACACTTTTCAAAATTTCTCCGAAAAAACGGTTAATAACAATATATTTAATTGTTATTTTACAATATTTAAGCGAAATAGTCAAATAACCATGAATAAGATGATATTTAAACTGTGAACTGTGACAAAAATCGTTTATTATCTGCTTTATCCTAATACGGTTAAACAACCAGAACTTTAATGCGCGAACTTAAACCATCTACTGAAGCAACTTAGTTCCTTTCAAGACGGGTACATATTATAGTCGAGGGAACTAAACCCTCAATGACATGATCGATGAAATGGGGTTCGAGTCACAGCATTGACACCATAATATTTATTCCATTCCCTTGAATACATGGCCATTAGAACACGCTACTCTTATTCACACACAGGTGGCATCACCATAAACCTGCTAAACTTCCTCCAATGTCCAGTTAAATTACTTTATGGTTTTGAAACCATTATAGTTTTAAATAGTTATGAAACCGTATAGTTTTGTATTCATGGTTTTTTAACCATACTAGTAGAAAACGGTTACAAAACCATAAAGGTAAAAAACGTTCTTTACCCTAAACTTTACGGTTAATTGGATGGACAGACGACTGCTGCTGGCTATTTTACCATAATTTTAGAAAAAAAAATTCCAACAGTGTAACATAACGTTTTAATCTAATGATTATAATTTAACCTTAAAAAATGCTTCATTTTTAATATTTGCATATAATTCATATTTTTATACAAAAGGCATACATTGGATATTCAAAATAATATGTAAGAAAATTCAGAAACAGAAACAGAAATATATTTCCTTCTGGCAGAAAGAATTATTCTTTTACTATGGATACGATTTTTTGCTCTACTCAAAATATGGGATAGGTTATGTGTAATTCCGAAAAAATGCTTATATAGATAAGACAGTCTTGTTTGGATTCTTTATGTTCTTAAAATTCGAAAATTTGGTTTTAGTTCAAGCTCTAATTGAGAGAATTGAAAGCTTTTGCGAAATAATTGAAACCCGTTTACTCATGTAAAAATAACAGAAAGTTCATTTAAAAAAAAGCATGATTTTTTGTAGCGTAGTCAGGATTTAAAAGTTTATAGATCTAAAAATATAAATACAATGAAAAATATATCGTTTAACTACACTAGTTGCATTTATGTTGTGTGAATTAATCGAAAGAAAATTAAAGGCGCTATAGAAGGCACTGAAAAATTGTAGAATGATCAAATAATAATTATAAGCAGTTTGTGTATAAATTTAAAATATCTTTACCTTTTAGGGGATTCTGTTGGAAGGGAATTTTCTACTTCAGTCTTTGATGTATCAGAATGCCTTAAAAGACCTAGTTGAACAAAAAAACACATTCTAAATAAATATTAAATAGGGCTATAAATATTGTTAAAAGTACTAGATTTTATTTTATTTAAAATCTGGTTAATTAATCGAGTCGAAGAGTCTTGAACTATCTTCCGTTCTTTCTGAATTCCATCCATTATATTATTAATTCTCTTCAAAATCACGTCCTCGTTCACCACAAATGTTAAGAGGCTCTACCAGAAAATGCAATATCATGTCATTATCTACTAGAAACTACTACTAAACTAAAATAAAATTATTATGATTCCATTTTTACAAAAAACAAGAAATGTAACAAGAAAAGACGAAATTTAATTAACACGAAAATTTGTTCTATAATATCACCATAGCAACCGATGATACAAACACTAACTTACAGCTTACATATACTCAAATAAGAAATAAATTAAAATCTAGCTTAAAACTTACATAGATATTCAAATGGCAAATAAATAAAATCTAGTACTTTTAACAAATATGACATATTCAAAACAATTTTTAAAATTCGTTAGTTAGTAACTTATTATCTTAACTTGTCTTTTTTAACTATCTTATCTTAACATGGTCTTTTCTTAACTTACCATGGAGTATAAGATTTATAATTTTTGCTCAGCAAGACAAGTTGTAAAATAAAGTTACAAATCCAAAACAGTGGAGATGGTGTCACTTACGAGTTTTTCGTAAGAGATTTATGTTTTAAATACAGATGGGTGAAAAAATAATACGAGCATTTCTGTGTTAACTCTTTGTAAATATGCAAACAATCTTTCTTTCAGTAGCAAATGTTATGGAAGATTTTACATGGCAAAACTCTTGGCACTATTTGAACGATCATGTTTATATAATGGTGCCCTTTTACTCATTATTTGCATCGACCAAAATTAGCGTAGGAAGTTTAAAGCTTCTTTCTTTCATTAATACCACTATAATTAAACCATTCTCAGAATGATTGTAGAATCTTAGAATGAATGATGAATAGAATGATTTCAAAATTGCAGGTATTAATGCTAGAAAAAAAGTAATTATCTCCCCATTTTGAATCGTCCGAAAATTTGCATGAGTAAAAATAACACCATTTCTAAAAACTTGAGTATGATCTTTGTAATTGTGCCAACTGTTTTGCCCTGTAAAGTCTTCCAAAACTTTTGTTGATAAGAGAAAGATTGTTTACATAGAGTTAATACAAAAGCGAATGTATTATTTTGTTATCCATATGTATGTCATTCGAAATAATGTTAAATAATGCCAATCTGTGTCTGGAAATTTGGCGAATAAGAAAAAAATTGGGAATACATTTTGCCAAAGAAGCTAATCAACAAAACTCTTTATCGTTTGTATGAAAATTATAATTTTTTTAGTTTATAACTAAACAAAACTGTTACTTGATATGAAAAAAAAAATTCTCATTATGTGTGGATTTAAATGTTTAGCATTTATTTCACAGCGAAAAGTTAATAGTTTCATCCAAAACTAAATCAATATTTTTTAATATTCCCCTTTTTAGATAAAGAAATATATTTTATTTCACTCACTTTACTGTGAGGCATACTTAAATAGTAATACATTCTATAGAATTACTTTGGAGAAAGTTTTGAATATTTGATAAATATATTCTAATCAAACATTTATTCATAACCATTTCCCTCCCAACAGAGTCCATTACTTTTACTAAATATTTTTGATATCTGTCGCTATGAGAGATCGGCATATGAAGAATTAAGAATTGCACATAATAATGTTGTCGTTTCCATGACTACATCATGTTCCATCCATACTTATGCTTACGTTAGGAAAAACTTCCATAACAAGTTTTCGGGTAAGCATACGTCACGTTCTTGACTAGCGAAGAATAATGTTCTTAAGATGCTTAAAATATGACAGTTTAATGCATACATATTGACATCTGTAGAGCTGAGATCATCAGATTTTGCACAGATCTCATTACAACCCCTATTCACGATTCCGCCATTTTTTTCTATCTTTATTCATTGATTCAGCAACATTTTTCTGACAATTCAAGCTGTTTGTGTGCAGTAATTTATTTCTGACGAGTTCTTTATAGGTAAGCCAAATAAAAAGCAGCAACATAATATCGCCAAATTGGCTGAACCAAACGTTATGGCTGTTTATATCTACGGACAAGAAAAATAAATTGAGTAATTTTTCGCGGAATGATGATGGCTATTTGCTTGAGTTGTCTCTGGGGAATTTTGCTGCTATTTTGAGATCTGGAAATACTAATGGTTCTTCAGCGTCGTTTGATTAACATATTTGTGAATTTTTGTAAATTTCTGCTATTTAGTTCTTTTTTAGATTGCTTAAGATGGAGCATAAAAACAATAATGTTGATTTCAGATTGCATAGTAATTGTTTGAAATTGCTTCCTGGAAAATTGATAAAATTTGCTGATAAAAAAATTTATTTAGCGGTTTTTTGTTTTAAATTTTCTTGTTTTATTCCATAATTTAAAAATATGATATATAAGAAATATGATATCTAAGAAATAAATATTTCCAAACATTTAAACTCTTATTCTTTCTGTTAATGTGCGTCAGATAGTAACTTAAAATATTAGTTACAAACTTTAAAGTCAGTTAAAAAACATTTTTCAAATTTATGTGCTCTGTTTTTAATCCCAGTAATTGAAAAACACAATTGAAAATGAACCATGTATGATATAATTTCATAATTTCACACATTGGAAATATACCCAAAAATTATACGATTAAGTTTCATTTTAATCTTTCAATTATTTATTAATTTTATATGATATTTATTAATATTATATGATATTTATGGATGAAATTTTATATGACATGTAGCGGACTAAGCACTGTCGCTCACAAGCCTCAATTATTGCTTCAAAATAATTGTTTGTTTTTTTTGCATAAAAGAGTTTTTTCTACGAAATTTGAAATTATTCAGTTTAAATAAATATGTACTAAATAGAATTCTGTTTGTTTACACTTATGCCTCCGCTTCCCACGTCAAAACATTTTCCTGAAAATTCTATTAAGATCTATTAATGGATATCAATAATTATGGCTAGCAACAATTTTTTTTAAAAAATAAATTTTAAATTTTAAAGGTATGTTCAGTAGGGGAGAGTGGGGTCAATTGTAACAGGGTACGATTATAACAGAGCAAAAATTTCGAGTTTCCGGTTCTAGATTTGGTTCCTAGGTGGCGCACAAGGTGTATTTAATAAATCTGCATGTACACCCCTGCTGGCAATCATTTTTATGTACTTTTGAAAGGGTTACATCACAAAAGATATTTTCACGCTACGTAAGTACTTTTTTTGGTATTCGAATATTATATTGTAACAAAGTAAATTTGTTTAACCAAATAATAATTATTTACCGAATATATAAGTGGACACCTTAATTAACATTTAAAAAAAAAAGATTAGTTTTGTTGATTAACTAGCATTGTTTTTAACAAATGAAGCTAAAATGGCGTCTTGGGGACGATTGTAACAATAAGTAATGGGACGATTGTAACAGCTGAAAATAATTAATCTTATGTTTACAAACCATTACTTAACTCTTTAGGAACCACCAATAGTTTCCTATATCATTTATATTAGGTTGCTTGTGCATTATTTTATTTGTCACCTTTCACAGCATAAATTAAAATTTTTAACCCCTTAAAGTTAAAAGTTTAACCCTTTAGGTCTCTGCTCATTATTATTTTTACTCCTAAAATATCACTACTATTTTGATCAATAAAAAAATATATCACAACTATGATAATATGTATAATTAACTATGTTTTAGTTGAATTTATGAACTGTTACAATTGACCACGTAAGTGGGGACAATTGTAACAAGTGCACGACTGTCAAAAATTGTTAATAACTAATATAATAACAATTGAAATAAGGTATTTTTTTTCTAGTAGAGGCTAGTCTATTTTACTCGTCTGTCAATTGATACTAATAATATATTGGATTTTTTATCAGTTAAAAATAGTTAAGTAAAAAATTTTACAATTGACCCCACTCTCCCCTATTAAAAATTTCTGAGAAAAAAGGCTAAATTACAATATATTTAATTGTTATTTTATCATATTCAAACAAACCCGAAATTGGATCGGCTGTTCAGCGACGATTATAAAATAAAATAAAATAGTCAATGATTTCATTTGATCCTGTGATACCATTATTCACTTTTAACCATAGTTAAATACAAGTTCATACACATTCAGTTACAATACACATTCAGTTTCAAATTATTTGAGAATCGCTAATGTTTCAAAATATAGTATTGCAAATTGAACAATATATATATATATATTTTGAAAAACGTAAATTAAAAATGAAAAGTAGTTGTTTAGTAGGGGCAAATTTATTTTGTACTAACAAACTTCTCTAATTCCACTTCATATGTGGATATATATAAAATTTACTATAACCTGATAACTTTAGTAGTACTAACGTGGCATGTTTAAATACAATTAAATTAAAATTAATAAATCAAAATAATCTAAAATATAAACAATCGAAGCCCCCCCCCCCCAGTGGGACGCGGTAAAATTATCAAACGTTGGTAGGTCCGCAGTGATAAAAATGTTGGGGAACACTGCTATAGTGCAATTAAGTTAAAGGGAGATTAAAAAGTAAAATTGTAAAATGCAATCAAAATGTGTGAAAACGACACACATTGTGTTAAAAATATTCAAATTTTAATTAAAAACAGCTAAGATCAATTTTTTTAGAAAAAAAAATTATTCAAAATTAAATTAAAAAGTGTTGAAATTGATAGAATTTTTTCTGTAAGTATTTGTATGGCGTTTTTTAAAGCAACCCTATTTATTCAAACTTGACTTAGAAAGCCAAAACTAGATCTAACATCATAATAAAGTATTATAAATAAAGACCCGACTTAAAAACTGTTTTTTTTTTTTTTTTTTTTGCTTTTTTTTGTCAATTTTNTTTTTTTTTTTTTTTTTTTTTTTTTTTGGTGTCGTGGGATATTCCTGCAC